ACAACAAACAAAAAATTGTTGACCTATTGGATATTACATATACATTATACACTATTATAATGTTAATTATACAACACTATCGACTGTGCCAATGAAAAAGCTCATTATACATGATGGGAAATTACATTTTGTTTTTCTTTTTTTCTTTTCTTTTTTTCCTTTTTTTCTCTTTTTCTCTTTTTTCTTTTTTCAGATACATGACAGTTTTGATGGGTGAATTACGTGTAAGTATTTTATTGTTAAAATAAAATAAGCGAATAGTTAAGATTCTTTTTTCTTTACTTTGATTCATTTAATATCAAATAAGAATTGACTGAAATCTAGTCACATATATCAATATAAGAATAATACAAAGCTGGGATGCAAGTACATCCAGCTGACATGTTCCAAATAGAATGAAACGCGAGTTCTGGATTTCAATGCCAGTCACCATTTATCTGTATTTATAAAGCTTGTGACTGATGGTAATATCATGGTAGACTGCACAGGATGTACATATTCCAATAAGAGAGGCAAGAATATAATTTATGGACGACCTTTGAACGAATCTCAGATGACCTTGAAAAATCTTAGCCAATCAGGGAACAGTTGGTATAGAGTACAAAAACAGCAAAGAATTAAAGTCGATACACTTCTTATACATGGTTCGAAAACTTGTCAAGGTTAGAAAGAGGTTCACAGGTTCTAAAATCATAATGCATACGGTAGAGGAAATCATCCATATGTCTCCATAATGGTCAGCTTCTGGAGCCATGATAAAGTCGTAAAAACTTTTAGCCTTGACCACATAACTTCAGTATTTTTTGTGTGCACTCTGGTAGATGGATCCACAAAATGCCACTTGTGGATAACGACACGATGCACATAAACAGGTCTATGTAGCCATCTGTACGCTTTCCAATCAACCGTATATATTGAAGTAACCGGTAGCAGCCAGTGTTACTGGTGCTTTTATTATCTAGTTCGCAACAATTGTCATAATTTGCTTTAGTCTCAATCTGGATCGAGCGAAAAAAACCATATTCTGGCAGACTTCTTTCTCCAACACATATTACATCGAAAGATAATATCATTACGGTAGTCTGTACAAGGTCCACAAGTCATTTGATAACCTTAGTCACAAACAAAGGAAATTTTTAGTAATCCCATTTATTGTATTCGGTCAATTATCACGTCTTCTCTAACATTCGCTGTGAACCGATCGTACATGAGCATCAGGTACTGAAATTGGCATTGTGACCTAGAAATCCCTCAAACGCTTCCGATTAGCTTGTCTATAATCTCGCCATAAGAGATTAATCAATTGCAGTCATACACAATAATTGGAATATACAAGTAAATAATACCAAGTAAACTTTCTCAATAATGATACAAACATCATAATTGCTGAACAAGTTAGTTGGAATCTGAATTGAGCGGCTAACCCGTTTATATTTGAAATGAAATTGTACTTGAGGTTGAAGTCTCGGTGTAAACATTAACAGAGGGATATACGTATTAAAGACTCTTTTATTTAATATCAGATTGGTTTTGTGGATATTATAGTAATTTCAATGGTTGAGATTACTATCATATCCACAAAACCCATCTGATATTAATCAACATATGCTCACTAGTGACTGACTTCACGAGATATATCCTGGAGTTCTAATGAAAAGTAGTGACCAGTGGAGTTCAACCAGGTCTATTGTGAGATATCAGCTCACTGAAGACAATACTGGATATATCGCTCAATTTCGTGGATTGGTTGAAGTTAGACATTAACACCGTTGGATGTCGGCTCAGTGGTCTGGTGGTTAAGTGCTCGCGCACTAAACCAGTAGGTCCTGGGTTCGAGTCTCGCAGGGGGCTGAGTCATGGGTGCGCACCATTCTATTTGTCAAAAATCATTTATTTAATTACGTAAGAAATTTTATGAAGATTGTTTGATTTCAATTACATTTTATTCAGGTATAGTTATTAACTAGAGAATTATAGAAAATAAGAAATTGTGGAAATTCTCTTTAAAGTTAATCATTGATGAGAATATGATGAAGTGGTGAGTAATAAGGATTTACTAGTATTTAAATTTAGTCTTCATCCACGACTAATGGATCATTAAAAACTTAAATGGTATGTTTTGGTCATGTTTGGGACTTTTTACAAGTAGTGTGACTCCATGGTCCTATATGTAGAATTAAACTTACAATATTTATTTATCGTAGTGAAGTATTAAAGTAAAGCACAATAGTCCACATTTCAAACTTTAATCAACTTACCCTACAACATGACTACAATCCAATGTCAATGATGACGTGTGTTTCAGTAATTCACAATAGAACTACAGTAAGTCTTCTCAGAGTTATTTCATTCAATTTTGATATCTATTCAATGTACGTAACTATTCATTTAACCGTTAACTTAATCAAATTGCTTTCAGTTTTTTTTAATGAGTTGAATATTCGATAACTCGTAAGATGGTTGTCAGTTGTCAGATAATTTACCAATCCCTTAACACCACATGTAATACTTCCAAAGCTTTGAGAAGGAACGTAAAGTGATACATTCATATGGAACAAGGGTTTTCCAACTCTCCTAGGTGGATCTTCCATATCCACCAACCCGGTTAAACCGCCAGACAATCACGTCTCATCTTCTGAATTTCATAAGCAACACCCTCGCCTCAAGAAGGCAGTGAGTAGGACTTTCTTGGCAGTGGTTGTAATGCACGTGGTCATGTAAGAGCATTTGAAGAGGGAGATCTAACTCTCCTCACCCTCAGCTGTACTAGAGCATTTGTTGTTGGTAAACCTTAAAATGTGAAAAACATTTGATCAGTTTATTATGTTTTTCAAAATAATTTAGTCAAGATTGTTTGGAAGAGCTTTTGCTGGAAAGTAGTAAGTATCATGGACTAATTAAACTAAACAACTGATGAAAACCAAGCAGCCCTAGAGAGATATATAGCGACTGGTGGTCCTATGTCGAGCCTACACAACTTATTCTAGCTTCCGGACAAGTTAATTTATCCATTCTTCTCAAGCTACATTTTGACTTTGTTAATTATTCCCTCATTAATCGTGACTATTTTTATATTAATGTACGTGTATACATTCATCTTCCTATTTATCACATGTCTTTAGCTTATATTTGTATGACTATGAATATCGATTAATGCTAAATTAAACCGAGTTTGCTCACATGCCATCTCCATTGTGCATTATTTCGCTTCTCTCTCTTCTCTTCACTTCATTCTTCTGATTGTCTGTCCAGAGCAATCAGTGTAGAAATTATACATATTTGAAAATCCATTCTTGTATTTAACTTATTTTAATTTCATTATTCACTAACATGATTCAAGTCGATGATTATATACCAAGATTGGCGATATGTATATTTCAATAACAATCATACATAAGATCGGTCTCGAGTCAAATCCTAAATCACTAATGATATTTATCTAAACTTGGAACTGATGAACATATATTAGATCCAACAAAGTAATTCATACTTTCAAGTAGAATTAATTCTCACTCAAAAAACTATTGTTATGTTATTATGCAAATGTTACTATAGTTGACATTGAAAATTATAACTTTCAAGTGAGCTACACAAAACCTATCAGTCAACATTAGGCACTAGTAAACAAATGTATAATTTTAGTTATTTATTTAAACACATAAACATAGGTACAAAAAAAGCACCAAATAGATATGAGCCACATAAATTATTCGATTTATGCGAGGGCTAGGATACTACCCGGTTGCCCAAACCGTAGCAGGTGGTTTTCCCAGTGGATCATACTACAAGCCAATGACCTAAACGTCTAATTCATAGCTCAGTGGAGCATTATCAGGAAATGCAATCCAATGATAATCAGTGACCAACGATTGGTTTATATGCCAATTGTTCCTTCGGGATCCTGAAGCCAATGTGCACCACTGATTTGGAATCAGTGTTTTCAAATTCCCCCACTTAAATCCTCCACATCTACCAACCCGGTTATATCGCCAAACATTCGCTTTTCGTCCTCTCAATCTCGCAAACACCCATGCCACGAGAAATTAGTGAGTAGGATATCCTTGGCAGTGGGTGTATATGCGTGAAAATGTGAGAGCATTTGGAGAGGAAGTATTGACTCAATCCACTCTCAGCTGTACCAGAGCATTTGGAGGCATATCATAACATATATTTCAACAGATGATATATCTATCAACATTTGATATAATTGAAAACCATATATGAATTTAAGTCAATCAACTAAACAGAATGACTAAACAACACACGATTTTTATCTTACAACCTAATGATTAAATTAGTTTTTTAGTTTTTCATGTAAGTTTAGTTTTTTTCCTCTTTAAAAAGTTGATTCTCTATTCCCAAATGAACTACCATAAATGGTGAAATGATTTTGATTAAAAGAAGAAGAAAAAAAACTAGTGAGAAACTTTTTATTACAATGAACTACTGAAACCTACTAAGTAGTTTAGCTGAATTAAAATATCAGTATGAAGTTGTGAAGATTAGTAAGATTTTGATTGACATGATGAATCAATGAATGTTAGGTCATCATTAAAAACCTGGAAGTATTAAATGGTTGTTTCGTTCTAGTATGGAATTAATCAGAAGTGGGCATCCACAATCTCACTCGTAGGATTCGAACCCAGGAACTTCGATCTCACGCCAGGACGATTAACATCTAGACCACTGAACCGGCCAGCATCCAACGGTGTTCATTTCTAACTTCAACCAAAACAACAAATTGCTCGACCATCTTCCATTGTACTAACATAGATACCTGACATGGATTAGCTCGAATAAAATTCAATAAAATTAAAATTCTGTGTAAGATTAACAGGTAAATAATACCAACAATGAACATTCAAATTTGTCTATAAATATTATTGATTCAATAAAAAAATTGAATGAAATAAATGTTCAATGTGAATAATGATAAACAAAAACAAAACAAATTTATCGATAATTTGTAATTTCTGTGTTGAACAACATTTGTCCGATACCTAGATCACTTTCAGATCAGATGAAAAAGTCAGAGTAGTAGTAGTAGTAGTAGTAGTAGTAGTAGTAGTAGTAGTAGTAGTAGTAGTAGTAGTAGTAGTAGTAGTAGTAGTAGTAGTAGTAGTAGTAGTAGTAGTAGTAGTAGTAGTAGTAGTAGTAGTAGTAGTAGTAGTAGTAGTAGTAGTAGTAGTAGTAGTAGTAGTAGTAGTAGTAGTAGTAGTAGTAGTAGTAGTAGTAGTAGTAGTAGTAGTAGTAGTAGTAGTAGTAGTAGTAGTAGTAGTAGTAGTAGTAGTAGTAGTAGTAGTAGTAGTAGTAGTAGTAGTAGTAGTAGTAGTAGTAGTAGTAGTAGTAGTAGTAGTAGTAGTAGTAGTAGTAGTAGTAGTAGTAGTAGTAGTAGTAGTAGTAGTAGTAGTAGTAGTAGTAGTAGTAGTAGTAGTAGTAGTAGTAGTAGTAGTAGTAGTAGTAGTAGTAGTAGTAGTAGTAGTAGTAGTAGTAGTAGTAGTATTGTAATTAGTACATAGTACGGTCAGTACACAACATTTTAAAACTGCATCCGACTGAAGTAACAGAGAAACCTGACTTATTCTTTCTGAATGGGAGCTAGACGAATCTGTACCAAGCATTCAATCAATGTTGAACTTAATAAACTAAGGAAGATATTGAACAACAATGGATATCCACCTAGATTCATTAAGAAAAGTTTCAAATCTAAACAACAACAATAACAACGCGAATTCGCCTCTGGCATCAAAACGGACTCTCTTTATAAGCATTAAAATTAAAAGGGATATTAAAACAGAAATTCTGAGAAGTAGACTTTCGAAGTTTCTGAGAAAAACATTCTTTTTCATTTTAAACTTCATATTGTCTTCTCAAGTTAGCCATTGATTCTTAGTTGCTTGAATAACAAATTCCTACTATGAGCAGAATTAATTTACATCTATTAGTTTACTTTCTGATATGGAGGAGGTTATAGTGGTCTCACAAGGTGAACTCTTTCGAACAGTATTTCCTAACACAACTTTTCTTAACTATATATAAAACTACAACATTCAGTCCAAGGTTCAGTCTTGGAACATGTAGTCATTTCTCTGTTTCACCAATTTCAAAAGGAATACAACTTAAAAGCTAGTGTACACCAGATGCTTTAGCTATTCCCACCAACCAAACCTCAAACTTAATATATGAAAGCAATATACATTATCTCTCATCATTTCATGGTGTTAACCTTTCTTTTTATCGCTCATAATCTATCTTCTTTTTCCTTATTCCTTTGTAATTATCTTCTCCCAGCTGTTTGCTAGTTATTATTACCCTTCTGATGCTAATCAATATATGCTCATTAGTAACTGTCTTCAATAGGTATTTCCTGGATTTCGAGTGAGAAGCAGTGACCAGTGGTGTTCAATCGTGTCTGTTATGAGATAGTAACTCACTGAAGACAATGGTGAACGGTGGCGCAACATCGTGGATTGCTTGAAGTTATACACTAATACCATTTAATTCCGGTCGGCTCAGTGGTCTAGAGGTTAAGCGTTCGCTCGCGAAACCTATAAGTCCTGATTTGCAATCTCGTAAGGCAGGATCGTGGATGCGCACTGATGAGGAGTTCCACAGTAGGATGAAACAGCCGTCCAGTGCTTCCACGTTTTCCATGGTGGTTTAGTTTCAACTGACTCATGATCTCAACTATTAAAATTAACAATTTTCTACTTATTATTTCTCAAGTAGACAATTATCTTCATCTTAATATTTTTTATTAACTGTTGAACATTCGAATAATTGGGTTTTTTTAAGCGATTTATATCACAATATACAACACCCTTCTATTTTTAGTAAATAAATCAACTATGAATACGACTATAAAACTTAAATAAATGAAATTGTCAGAGAGAGAATTTCCTCCCCTGATTTATCTTTATTGTTCCCTGATGACATAATAGATTTTGAATTAAGATTTCAATCGATAATTTGTGTAGGGATCTTAGCTGGTTAAACGTAGCCAATCAGATTTATAGTTTCTGATAGATGGTATTTTTCAACAAGGAATGTCATGTATTTTGAGGAAACTATCTCTCCATATGAAATACAAATACGCATCACTTAGTTTGACAAGATATTAACTGTTTATTTATTTGAACACATAGATATTAATACAAGAGGTCACCGAGTGCGTATGCGCCACACAATTCATTTGATTTGTGTGTGCGCTGTGATACTGTTCGAGTGCCCAGACCGAAGCAGTTGGTTTTCTAAAGGGAATACAACCGGGGTCTTCAACCTAAAGGTCTGATCCATAAGGCAGTGGAGCATCGTAAGGAGATGCAGTCACATGGTAGCCTGAGACAAATAATTAATTCGTACGCCATTCGTTCCTTCAGGATCGTAAAGCTCATGTTCGCCATTGGTTTGTAATCAGGGTTTTCTAACTCCAGTAGGTGGACTCTTCGTGTCCATCAACCCGGTTAAAGCGCCGAACATTTGCTTCTCATCCTCTCAATTTCATAAACAACACCCACGCCACTAAAAGGCAGTGAGTAGGACTTTCCTGGTAGTGGTTGTATGCACGTGACCATATGAAAGCATTTGGAGTGGGAGAGCTGACTCTCCTCACTCTCGACTGTACTAGGATATTTGCTGGAAGATCAGATGAGGTCCTTATAACTCTGTGATAACCCCTTAGACCGCTGAGCTGTGAGAAGTGGTTTTGAACACAATAGGGAGCTTCAGTGCTTCAAGATCTCAGGAACACCTTTCCACTAAGTTCCAATTGACTTGTATCTCAGGTTAAGCAGGTATTCTAGCTTACTAACTTTGATCATCTAATATCAAAATTTAGTTCATGCGAAGTTTATGTTTGTTTAATTTTGAAGAAAGTCCATGATAAACAAATAAATCTATTGAATTGTATATTAATTATTAGTTAAAGCTTTTATAGAAATATAAACCTTTTGAAGAATTGGTTTTAGTTAAGAGATTACTAGAAATTATAATAAACTATGTAAATGGTTGATTCATTTTCAAGAATTCAAAGTTTTAATAGTATAACCTCTACTCACATCAATATCAAAACTGTCTTATATTACATAGAACAACATTATATTTGCACAAGAAATTGGTTGCCATATAGTTAATCATACTGAAAGATGCAGTAGACGCCCAACTTTGAGATCAACATGCTGGATTCCGTAAAGATCGGTCGCGCACAGACCAAATTGCGACACCACGGATCATGGTCGAACAATCGGGTAAGTGGAACTCGTCACTATGCATCAACTTCATTGACTACGAGAAGGTGCTTGACAGTATATAGAGGAGAACATTGTAGAAACTTCTTCGACACTATGAAGTTCCTGAGAAGATTGTCAACATTATCCGGAACTCATACGACGGACTACAGTGCAAAGTCGTGCATGGAGGACAGCTGACAGATGCATTCCAAGTAGGGGTCGGAGTCAGACAAGGCTGTCTACTCTCCCCTCCTGATGAAGATCTGGACATCTGAGGAAAAGCATGGAATACAATGCACAACTCAGAATCATTTAAAAGATCTGGACTTCGCAGATTACCTAGTTCTTCTACCCCATATACACTAACAAATGCAGGTCAAGACAACCAGGGTAGCAGAAGCCTCTGCATCAGTAGACTTGAACATACACAAGGGAAAAGGCAACATCCTCAAATATAACACAGTGAACACCAACCCACACTTGTTGGAGAATCTCGGGAAGGGGTGGAATCCTTCACATATCTGGGAAGCATCATCAATAAACAAGAAGCATCTGATGCAGAAGCAAAAGAGAGGATTGGCAAGACATTTACAGCACTCCTACAGCTGAAGGACATATGGAACTCAGAACAACTGTCTGTCAACCAATATCAAGGTCAGAATCTTCAATACGAACGTCAAAACAGTTCTACTGTACGGAGCTGAAATTCGGAGAACTATTACAACCATCATCAAAAAGGTACAAGTATTTATCAATAGTTGTCTACGCAAGATACTCAACATCCATTGACCGGATACCATCAGCAACAACCTACTGTTGGATAGAACAAACCAGCTTCCAACTGAAGAGGAAGTGGATAGGATATGAATAGCGTAAATCACCAAACTGCATCACGAGGCAAACCCTAACTTGTAATCCTGAAGGGAAGCAGAAAAGAGGATGGCCAAAGAACACATTACGTCGGGAAACAGAAGAAGATATGAAAAGGATGAATAACAACTGGAAACACCTGGAAAGGATTTCGCAGGACAGGGTTGAATGGATAGTGGTGGTGGGCTGTCTATGCTTCTCCACCAGGCGTAACAGGCGTTAGTAAGTAAATAGCTGTTTAGCTACATTCATCAATGTGTGATTATAATGTTTATCATATAATGAAATTCAAAACAGAATAATAATTAAGGATACATTTTTGTTTGATGAATAGCTAGTATTGAAATACAAGATTTGTTTAGTTGTATCAGAGATATATCATAGCTGGATGTACCTGTATTGCTCTGTTGACTCTGACATTTGATCTTGAATCACAATACACCCCCCCCGATTACTTCAGTGTATTGTCCACTTATCTAACGAGTTCATAAATATTCACCAACTTTTTCATTGGATGTGATAATTAATAATATTAGGACGAAACAACTGTCTAATACATTATGTAAACTTTAATACTTATACACTTTATATTATTTACTAGAATCTTTTCATTGTTATTTAAGACTACAATTGATCAGTCTCATATTGGCATATGTGCGAACTGCCTCAATTTTGCCTGAAGTCATAAGCTTTATAAGCAAAGATGGATAGTGGCTAGCAGTGGAATCCAGGACGCTGGATGTACCTGCATCTCAGAGTTGATGTTCACTTTGGAACTTGAGTTAAGTACCATTCACTCTAAACACCATCACATTATCCACTTAGCTACTGAGTCTTGATAGCCACTTGCTTGTTAAAAATGGAGTGAAGTTCAAATTCACTTGATATTATTTACTTGAATCGTTCGATTGATGTTTAGGACTATTATATAGGTCTACTTATAGAAGTAAAATGATTTCTGTCAGTTAAAGTAACTAAAAGGTATCGACATTTCGAGTATAGTTAGATTGACTAATAATAATAATAATAATATAGCTAATAGTATTTCATAATGTGAATCAATTATGAACGTTTTACTTATCAAACGTGATTGATTACTTAAAAAATTGATAGACACATATATATACAAATGGAATTAGATAGATAGATAGAAATAATCAGAATAGATAGTTAATTCGAAACGTATTACATCAGTTAATTAAATTGACATAGAATAGTTCAAGTGATCTAGATAAATTGAATTAGTTATTCAAGTAATTGACTATTTAACATTGTTAAGAATATAAACAAATGAATTTATCCAATCAGGACAAAAATAGACTAAACCAATCAATTATAGTTAATATTGAATAGAACAAATGATGTATGAATTAATCGTTGGTCACCGGCTATCATTGGACTGCATCTCCTGACGTTTCTCCACTGCCTTGTGGATTAGATCTTTAAGTCAAAGACTCCAGGTGTGACTCTCTAAGAAAACTACATGCTACGATTTAGGTACTCGAGTAGTATCCTAACCCTCA